CTCCGCCCTTCAGGTGCTCAAGAGAGTCATTATAACTTCACAGGAAGCATCCTGCCCAAGACATCCTGTCACTTCTTAGTTTTCTTCCTAACAGGATGGCCAGTCAGTGCACAGGGACACATGGCTGGAAGAGAGGTTAAATATTTTTACATATCACTTGTGTACGGCGAAGTAGATAGGGCAGATACTCCTTTCCCTTTAAAAATTAGGGGATTGAGCAGTGATGTATCAGAATTGTGTAGAGTGAGATGTGTCCAGGATTACATCCCAGGTCTCATTTGATGTATGTCTCAGGTTATTTCAGGTGGTGACAATTTTTTTTTAAAACTATATTTAAAAATATGGAAAGGGGAAAGAAAGAGGGAAAAAAACAACAAATTTTTACAGGAGGCAAGGTGTGGCTGTTGACTACATAGTGGTTACTCTTGTTTGTGTTGACTTTTGATAACTCGAGTGGGAAACACATCTCTGTTTAGTTCTTATGGATCACACCCTCATTACGTAAGAGGTGTCACACCTCACATAACTTGCTAATGAGTAAGACTCAGAATTATTGAAAAATGCAGTGAGTAATTATTAGATTAGAACTCCTAGACAAACACTTGTTCTCTCAGAATTCTGGAATTTGCCATTAGGCACACTGAATTCTTCTTAAAATAAGAATGGGTTTGTATCTTAAAGTATGATTCAATTTTTGGAACAAACTGCCTTTTCTATATTTTGAGGTCCTTTGTGAAACTTTATAATTTTTAGTGTCCAGGATACTAAAGGTAGTCTAGTAGATTTTTATAATATGGTAACTCAGTTTCTTTCATTAAATAAAGGATGTTACATCTGGCCAAACAGACTTTCCTTTATTTGATAAGATAAAACCTTTTATCTTCATTCTACTGATGGAGAATAACAGCTAATAATACTAGCTAACATTTGTGAATGCTCCTCAGTTAGGCAAGTACTCAGTGCTTTATATGCATTATTTCATTTAATTCTGAGTAACCCTGTGAGATAGGTACTTTGTACGTCCATTGCAAAAATGTATCCAATGGAAAAATTAAGAGATTAAGCAGCTTGTCCAGGGTTACAGGCAGGAAATGGCAGAGCCAGGATTCACAGGCTCCAGACCGACGACCTGACCTCACCTGGCAAGGGTAGATGTTATGTGTTTCTGGAAGAATGTGGCCCAGGCAGCTGCTATACACTGAAAAGTCTTACTGTAAAATTATGCTTTCCTTTTTGGTTTAAGGTTTTTGGAAAACTATTTTCGTTTTAGTTCCTTGGGAGGGGCCTTACATGACTTTACATTTATATGGCTCTATAAATTGGTAATTAAGAATTTTACTTTACAGTCAGGTGTTTTGAGTTATTGAGGCTGAGGTGGTTAGTATATACAGTATGAACATTTTTTAACATTCATGAAAACATCCAGAGAAACTCTTAAAACATTTTAAGAGAATTTTTCATTTTATTAAAGTTTAGAGTGCCATATTCTCTCTCTCTTTTTTACTCTCTTTAATATACATACACATACAATCATTATACCTTAAGGCAGAAATCTCTTGTATCCAGGAAAATTCAAAAAGTTTAATTGAACAATTTTTATTTACTGAGTTACTATTTATACCCTTAACAATGGAAGATTAGTTTTGAAAGTATAGTGCATGGTAAAATACACTAGTTTAGATTTAAAAAAAGTAAATGCAGATAGAAGACAATATAATTTTTTTGGCTTTTGAAAGGTTTAGTGTCTGATGCAGTTAAGACACTCTCACTAATAATTTGTAAAATGATGTACGTTTTTTTCGTGTCTGTTGAATGTGGATGGTTCTATAACTTTCTAGAATGTTAAACTTGCTGAACCTCAATCTTCTTACTGGTAAAAGGAGAATAGTAAAGATTATTAAATTTAAGGAGTGTGTGGATTTTGTAGGTAATGAGAAAAATTATCTAGCATAAAAATTGATGTCTCTCTATATATCCTTTGGATGCAGGAGATACAGGAAATTGACTGAAATCTGATGAATTCTGACCTCTTTTGAATGTTATTTAAAAAAAATATATTGATTACTTTGTATATGTATTGCATAAGAAACATCTATGGTTTTTATAATCTGTAAATGAGCCAAAACTAAATGTTAACATTATCTGTAAGTCTACCACTTAGAAATAATTACTGTTAACATTTATTCCATAATTATAAATGCATACTTATGAAATTATAGTAATTGGAATTATACTCCATGTGTTATTTCATAAATTGCTTTATAACTAGTATATTAAAGATTCTTTACAAGTAATAAATGTACTTTAATGTCGTGAGTTTAAATTTCATGTAGTTTTCTGTTTTATGGTTATATCATAATGTAATTAATTTCTTATTGTTGGGCATTTAGGATGTTTGTAATTGAAGAAATAGAAGCATTTCTTCTATTCATGTCTTTTGTGTTCTGCTGTTGTCTTTGTATAAAGTCTTAGGTCTCTACATAGTGTGCCTGAAAGAGTGCATATGTAAGGCTTCAGATACACAGCATAAATTGCCTTCTAGAAAAATGGTATTTTATATTACCTCCAGTATTGCACAGGGCATGCCAGATTCCCAAGTCCTTAAAATATAGACTATTATTTAAAAATCTTTTAGTTTTTATGTTATCTTCTTTATAAATACAGTATAAATAGAGCCAGGTATTACAATTATTTAGGTTTTGGTAAGTATACAAGGATATGTTAATATTTTGATATATGGAGGGGGGTGGTCTGAAATCTACATACTATAATTTTGCCTTTCTGTAGTCTTTTTGGGGAAATGAACCATTCCGGTTAGTTGGGTTTTAGTAGCTCTGCATATTCCATTATTTCTATTTTATTAATTAATATTCTAAATATAACCCAGCCTTGCCTATATGGTGCAGAGGTATTCCTTTGAGAGTTAATTATTGGAGTGTGTTGGCAGAGTATTAACTTTAAGGTCAGTGCATGTAACGAGGTTAAGCATATACTGCTGTTAGCTACCCGTAGGTATTTGATTAAACAGCATCTTGGCCATTAGAAGCTACTGAGTAGGTGATATTTTCCCTTTTTCAGATGAGTAGGCTGGAGTTCAGAGAGATTATTTAACTTGCTTAAGATCACACACCTATTATGTAATGAAAGTGAGATGTGAATATATTTTGTCTAACTTGAGTCCTTTCGCTTTCCATTTTTGTCACTTGCTACATTCTGCCCTCTGGGTTGGCCAATCCAGTGCTATTGATTGTTAGTTACCCTTTACTGTTAGCCATGTGTCTGTACCGTACAGACTTTCTTTCTTCTAAACCTAATTTCTTCTCATCTAAATTGAATTGAGAACATAATTGCTAGATTGTTTCAGTGGTCTAGAGAACATGGACTTTGATATCTGCTTTGATGTTTGGGGCTTTTTTATGCTTTTTGACTTTGGACAGCAGTTTCTTGATAAATGAGGTGTCACTGTTTTCACTAGTTGGGATCAGTGCTCATACTGAGTTTTTATTGGATCTATTTGAGGAAAATTCAAAAGCTTGTGCCACACAGGTTACCTGGAATAATCCATGCACCACTTAAAGTTATCTCTCAAAATAGGTGCCATTCTGTTAGAATATATTTTACTGTGCTTTTAAGCATGTTTTACTATGTGGCCGAAAGCTTCTTAAGGGAAGAGCTGCCTAATTTTTTTTTTTTTTAGAAATTCACCAAGTATCCAGGTAAGTGCCTGTAACAGAGACACTCAGCAGAAGTTTAATGTAGCCTTTTTGTAGATTAATGCTGTGTACAGGAAAGGATCTTCCACTTGTTCCTATATTTGAATGTGTCACCTCCTGGCCCTGAAGCCTGTCCATATTTGTAAACCCAGCTTATGAGAAACTTACTCTTGTTCTAAAATTAACCATTGTTTTGTCAGTTAACAGATAGCATGTCTAGCGTTGTGGAAAAGATGCAGAAGCCATGTGGGGATTCTAGGTGGACAGTAAAGCTAGCAGTGGTGTGTAAGGACAGCAGGCGCCCCGTGGCTCACCGAGCATTTAAGATGAATAACTTCCCAAATTAGGTTTCCAGGATCGTATTTCTCCCTGAAGTGGCAGGTGGAGCAGGGACTCCTGCTGGCAGGTGGTGGGTACGTCTCCAGGGCAGCTGCTGTCATTGCTGTTGCAGCGCCTCCTGCCCACACCCTTAGCTGAGGACCCAGTCCAAGGAGTTGTTCTTGGGGCGGCCTTTTTCCCCTTTGTGGCCTCCATTTTCTCTGCTTCTGTTTCCTCTCTGGAATCCCCATCCCTCCCAACCACTCCACTCTCAAGAGACAGTATCCGTAGATATTTTTTCAGCAGTTTCACGAAGAACATTGTCGGTGGCAACCTTAGGTGGCCTGTTCATATGTAATAGCCTTTAGTGGGGATTTTGTCTGTTTAAAATTCATACCATCTACCCTCTCTGTCTTTTGTCTCTCTCTGTCAGGATTTAATAGTCTTCTCCCTAGGTTGCTTCAGTAAATAGCTCTTTACGCAAATCAGGGCCATTCCGTGAATACATTTAAGGAGAGCCATGCCTTCTGCTATTTAGCTTTGTAATGAAACTTGAAGAATTTAAAGATGGGATTGAAATAAATGCTGTGCATATATAGTTGGTATTTCAAATGTATATCTTAATCAGTTTTTATTTACGTAGTAAAATAGATCACCCATAGGTTTTTTTTTTAAAAAAAATAGAAAATATGTTAGAAATGTAGCTTCTAATTTTTATCATGTATGAAATGGTTACAGTACAGAAAATGCTCATTGTGATTTTCTTCTGTTTATATTTTTTCATACTAAAATGGATAACCTTTCTCTTTGTAACACAGAACCACACATAACTTCTTATATGGAACAACTTTTGATATATGCACAGCTTTCAATTATAACATTAGATGCATATTAATTAATCTAGTACTAGATTTGACTTGTGTGATATTCCTCATTAAGAGAAAATTAATACCCAAATCTGTCTTTCAGGCAGTAACAGAGAAGAATTTTGAAACAAAGGACTTTCGAGCCTCTTTAGAGAATGGTGTTCTGTTGTGTGAGTAAGTATTTAAGGCATTTAAAAGAATAATTCAAAGGCAAAGGTGTGTGTGTGTGTTATGAAGTTTCTTCGCTCCTCTCTCCATGGCTACCATAGTCACAGATATGTTTTCTTGGTAACAAGTGAGATCTGATCCCTGCAAATTGACACCCCCACAGTACCAGGCAGTAAGAAGGAGTTATCAGTCTCTGTATCTAAAGATAGCATTGGTGAAATGTATATTATTTTAAATTAGTAAACAAGAAAGATTCTATTATTGCTCAATGGGCCAGTGGGGATGGGTGGTTGAGGAGAAGGCCTTATTACATTGTTCCAGCTATTGTTTACTGTGATTATTCTGATGTATGGAATTGCCCAGTTTAGAAGTTAATGTAAAACTTTTTTTCTTCGCCAATAAATAATGATGGTTGTAGAACAAAGTTAGGCAGTAGCACATTTTTCTTTTAAGATTTATGTGGAGTCATTACATTACCACAATCAATCTGAGTCATGGGCCATCAATTTAATTAATATTATTGAAAATCACATCCCAAGCTTTGGTTATCATAAGGAAAATGGGCTGGTGCCATGATTGATGATATGAAGCATATACTGTGTTTAGTATGATGGTTTGTTCCTCAATGGATGTGTAGTACAGCTAGCCAGGTATGTGACCTTTGGGGGTGGGATGTAAGGATGAAGGTGTGAGGGTACAGGTTGCAGAAGTGAGCAAATAAATTATAAGAACATACTTGAGTACGCACCCACATTTTTGAAAGTACTTAAGTATTTCAATCTAGACACTTACCGCAATAGGTATTTATGGAATCTGACCACAGGGAGCACTGGGAGTATGTGCTTGTACTTAGATGATTTTGATTATCCTTTTAAAGGAAGGCTGTTTGCAGCAAAGATCAGGAGTCAGAGGGCTTAGGTTTGATTCTTTGCTCCCGTACTTTTGGACATTTGAGCAAGTGACTTAACATCTGAGCCTTATTCTCACCTGTAAAGTAGATATCAGGGTATCTGATCTGCCTACTACACAGGGTTGCAAAGTTCCATGAGACATATGGAACTTAAAAGGTTTTATAAACCATCAAATTTTGTATAAATACAGATTGTTGCTAGGAAGATGGTGTGTAGATAATAGTCTCTATCATATTAGCTCTGTTGATAGGTGTATGTTCAGACTTGTCTTTCAGCAGTATTATTCAGTTGAACCTTGTGAAATTGTTGATATTTAACCATCTGTGAGCTACAGAAATGTCAGTTTCATGTGGTTCTAGCTAAGATGTTGTAGGACAGGCATATGAAAAAGGGCCACAAATAAAGTTTAAAGGATATATCTTGATCTCTTGTGTTGTCACATTCAGAATTGTCATTGACAAATAGTGTTTAAACTATTTTTAGTAGGCTGTATGGTCAGCCCAATTTGTCACTGACAGGAAATTACCTTGATTTGAAAACTGTATGATTTAAATGTATTCTAATGTGTTCAGAAGACAGAGGGACAAAAACGGCTTAGAAGGATGCATGTGATCTGAAAACTACCTCTGCTATAAAGTATAGACTATTTAGAGGTTTGTAGCCAAATAGCATTGATGTCAATTAAAAACCCCACAAGTCAGGATAGGAGTTAGGTGGGTTTATGTAGGAAGTGCCCTGTGAGGCACAGAGTTGTTTTCATACATATGAGAGCATATGGCCCAAATAGGCGATCTGTTCATTGAAGTCACTTTGTGGCTATATAGTATGGAACTATTAATGAAAACATTTTTAGGTAGTGCCTTCTGAGGGAACACTGCTTCCATAACTAGGTCATTAAACGTACCTGAGAATAACAACCCAGTTTTTTGTTTAAAATGCAATTTATGCACCAGCCTGGGCTCTGAATGATTTAAGGTGATTTCTAAAAACTATATTCAGCCTGTTACCAGTGAGAATATTTAGAATAGATGAAAAACTGTTTTAACCACAAGTAGTGCTGTTAGAATAAATATGTAAGTTCTACCTTCATGGTCACAGCAAACATTTGGATGCATGTTTAGAGAGAGATTGTTTTTTTGTTTGTTTGTTTGTTTGTTTTTTAAAGTCACTTTAATGCACAGCTTCCTAAAGCTCATTCTTAAATTGTTTCCTAACTGAAATAATACCAATTTGGGGTTTTGCGCATTATCAGGTAAGTCTTATCAATCTGTTTAGTACCCAGTGTTTAAATGAATGTTTCCCAAAAGTAGCAAAAGTAAACATTAAGCTGTGACAATCAGCAATTGTAGTTTACTGTGGGACACCAAAGTACTGCAAAATGTTTATATTAAAAAAAAGTCTTTCTCTTAGCTGTGTATCATATTGTTTCTAGCCATTGGTTAATGAAGGTATATCAATTTAAAAGGTATAGTGTTGAGGGAAAGCAAAGTCCAGGTAATTATATTCTTTATAAATCCATAACTGAAGAAAGCCTACTTGGTTGGTCTATAAGCAGGCATCACTATTTGATCACATCTATCTAAATTATAATACGTATGAGGAAAGCCAAATCAGTTATTCAGAAGCCTGGTATTTTAGGCTCAAACTTTTAAATTAATAGTAAATATAGTAAGCTATTGTCTTAGATTATTTTACCCATAAGAAATCTTAAGTTTTAGTTAAAACATGATTAGGATATTTAAAAAATCTGAATTCATCTTCTTACAGAAAAAGGCTGACTTCCATTTGATTCACTGCCATAAAAATGACCAATTCTTGTGAAATATAGAGTCTGCTTGTTGCCTGTTAAATCTCTCTAGACATCCTACTTAATTACCACCATTAAAAGAATTTTCTTATTGTTTTATCTAGTAATTTAAGCAATCTTTTATCCTTTAGTTATAGTTTATCCTTTTGAACTGGCATTCCAAGCTATCAAAGTGGAGAATTGAGAGAAGTGAGCTTATCACAGTTTTCACCCAGCTGGCAGTGTGCTGACATTTCCAATAGTCTAAACAGGGTATAAACTCTGCACTGAGGTTTCATACAAGATACATATCTGAATAATGAGGATATTATGTCCATTTATTGCCTTTTAATCTGATTGACTATGGAAGTCAATATCTTCTGTTAATTATTTAGTATCATTTAGTTTGATTAACTGTGTGATCTAATGAGTTGAGGACTAAAGAATACTCTCCCAGTTAAAGTCTGTTATAGTAATTCTTTTACCTTCTACCTTAGACATGTAATCTCTCTTGGCCTTACTGAACAGCGAGATGGAAACAAGATCTAATTTTATTTTTTTTCTATTTAGTAAAAGGATTGACGAGCTTATAAAGTCATTTTGGCTCCTTGTTATAATTTTCTGTGAATTTTATTGTTTTATCTATTAATCTGTCTCCTATCTTCATTGTTTATTAGTGTGTATGAGGTGTACCTTACTATATATTACAAAATATTTGAGGTTTGCTACTACATACATATCCTCAATTCTTTCTTGCTCTGTGGTTCTAGCTGAATTATTTTTTGCTAAACACATTTAGTGGCATGTCCAGCTAGTGATATGAGTTAGTAATTTCACAGTTACTCATCTTATGATAGCAATCTTGGAAATATTCAAATGAAAACATTCTTTATTCTCCTTATGAAGTAACAAGATATGTTCAAAGGTAATCTTATTGGGTGTGTCTCAGTATTGGGTGTGTCAGTCTATACTTCCCATCTCTGGAATAAGTCTATGTCTTTGCTCTTTTCCAAGTCAGCTATGCATCAGAAGTTTATGCCTTTTGAACTCGTGGCTTACATTATTGAGAAAGCTCACCAAGCCTTTTCCATAGCTTGCAGCTTGGAAAGAG